TGTGTTAGTGAAGGTCCTCTAGAGAAACAGAACCAATATTTCCAATGACTGTCTTTCTCATATATGTTCTCTCTCTCTCTCTCTCTCTCTCTCTGTGTGTGTGTGTGTGTGTGTGTGTGTGTGTGTGTGTGTGTGTGTGTGTTCACATGGTTTTGGGGGTTGGTAAGTTCAAAATCTGTAGGCCAGGTCAGTAGGTTGGAACCTCTTGGGCAGGAGTTGATGCTGTAGTCTTGAGGTAGAATTTCTTCTCCAGGAAATATTAATTTTGCTTTTAAGCCTTTTAACTGATTGGATAAAATCCACCACATTTTTGAGAGTGATCCTAATCTTCTTTGCTTAAAGTCAATTTACTGTTGATGTTAACCACATCTACAAAATACCTTCTCAACACATAGTGATATGGTTTGGCTCTGTTTTCCCACCCAAATCTCATGTTCAGTTGTAATCCTCAGTATTGAAGGTGGGGCCTGGCGGGAGGTGACTGGATCATGGGGGTGGAGTTCTCATGAATGGTTTAGCTCTGTCCCCTGTTGGTACTGTACAGTGAGTGAGTTCTCATGAGATCTGCTTGTTAAAAGTGGGTAGCGCCTCTGCCCACTCTCTTACTCCTGCTCCAGCTGTGTAAGACACGCCTGCTTCCTCTTCACTTTCCATCACAACTGTAAGTTTCCTGAGGCCCCTCCAGAAGCTGAGCAGAAGCTTCTGTGCTTTCTGTACAGCCTGCAGAACCATGAGGCAAATGAACCACTTTAAAAAAATAATAATAAATTGTCCAGCCTCAGGTATTTTTTTATAGGAAGGTATGAACAGACTGATACTCATAAGTCATGTTTGAATGAGTTCCTGGACACTGTATTCTACTCAAGCTAACATATGTGGTTATCGTAGCCACTGGGACAGAAAAGGTGTGTTGCTGCTGTTACGAGCTGAAAGCAAATTCCTTCTGGTGGTCATTACTACAGAAATTTAGAAAGAAAGCATTTGTCAGGCAATACCTTCACACTAGTGTCTCAGTCTATTCTCTGTTGTTTATAATAGAATGTCCAAATTGGGACAGTTTGTAAATAAAAAGAAATTTATTTTCACAGTTCTGGAGACTGAGAGGTGTCAGCTCGAGGTGAATCTGGTGAGAGTCTTAATGCTGGTGGAGATCCTCTGAAGGGTCCCAGAGTGGCACAGGGCATCACACGGTGAGGGGCTAAGTGCGCTTGCATGTGTTACCTCAGGTCTCTCTTTGTCTTCTTATAAAGTCACCAGTTTCCCTTGCATGACAGCCAGGAATGGATTAATAATATTAATGGGAGCAAAACCCTTCATAGTGTCCTCACCTCCCAAAGGCATCACCCATCAACACTGCCACTTCTGGGTTATGTTTCAACATGAGTTCTGGAGTGGACATTGAAATCATAGCAACCAGGTAGCAGGAGACATATTAATTTGCTACAACAATGAAATGATTTCAAGTACAGAAATTGCACCTGAAGTCACATCTGGATAAGTTTACGGTACTTTACTGTTATTCTGTAAGATCCGTCTGTCTTCCACACAGTCCAAACAATCCAGCTGAATGGGAGTAGGGTGGGAATCATCATCCCTCCACCCTTCGAGTCCTTGATAGTGACACCAACATTTGTAATTTTCTCTGCAAAAGCAATATTGCTTTTTATTTACTGTTTTCCTGGGCAGAAGCAATTCTAGTGGCTTCCATTTGGCCTTTCCTACCATAATAGCCCTTGCTTCACAGATCAAGAGACTCTTGTGGGATTTTATCAGGACCTGATGTGTCTATTCCAATAGTGCATTCTGGAACTGAGGGAAATAAGCGCTGGATGGGTTTTTAGTCATCAGTTCTACAATCCCTTACATTTGGGGTCTCCTCAAGTGAGTGTCAATTCAGAGCCTGTGTGTAGAAATCCCTGAGAAGTCTGATGATGTCCTTTCCCCAGTGCAAAGCCACCCTGGTAAAAGGATGTGAGCCTCTCTGGGGGAGGATGTGAGAAAGATTGACCGTATAGATTGTTGGCAGTGCAGTGGGGTCTTTACTCAAGAGAAACTGACCTACCTTTCATTCAAGCGGTTCTGGGTATGTAAACTGGCTCAGAGGGGGAACTGATTCAGGGGCCATGACTCTGCTCTCATGATTCGGGTTCAACTTCTGTCCACTTGACCTGGAACTCCTCTGCTTAGATCAGATAAGGATTGAGTGGACTCCACATCTATTTATTTGGCATCCAGGAACACCATGATCAACTAGCCAGTGCCCTGGGCCTCTGCCAGGCAGACTCTCCTGATTGCCACTTTGACCGTGCTGCTCACTATTGCAGCCATACCAGCTTATCTGGTTATTAAGGATTGCCACGTGACCCTGCCATGCCCCTCCCACCACATTTATTTCCACTGCTTTTCAGGATCCCAGTTAAGTGAGAGCAGGTCCCACTATGACGTCTGACCTACAGAGAAGAGTGCCCACAGAGCTCTTCCAGGATAGAAAACTCCCTTCACACACTTATTTCTGACAGTCATAGTGAAAGATGTGTCCTTGGGCCTCCGGGAAGGGTGGCCACCATGAATTGGTGCAGATCTCACATGACAGATCTGCTTTATCATTTTGATCTCCTTCAGTCTTTGGATATATTCCTTGATGGTGAACCAAGATTGTCCCGCCATTCATTTCACATGGGCCATCTTTTGTTCATATCTCATCCAACCAATCAAACCATCAGAGCCCACTTCTAACTCTCGAGCTGTCCAGAACCTCTGCTTAGAGGGCCCATATCAATAAATTCAGCCCGAATCGAACTTTTCTTTTCTTCGACCGTGACCCTGCTCACTGAATATTTATTTCCACTGTGTTCCCCTGATGCATCTACACGCACTGGAAATGCCACATGGTGGTTTTAGGGTGCAGCACAGCTCCTCCTGGATCACACTTTTACCTCATCTTTTGAGGCCTGCTGGTACTTAAGTGTAGCTTTAGGTCTAGAAGGAAAGACGATGGTGGAGTAGGTTCTGAGACAAATCAATGGTGTCTTGCAAGGCAGCTCCCTCAAGGAGGCCATTACAGGTTCTTCAGGCAAAGCAGAGTTTCTGCCGTCCCCAGGGACACCTTGCCCCGTGCTGCCTCAGGCTGTGCTCCTCTCCACACAGCAGTCGCACACCTTCACCTAGGAGAGTGGGAAGGCTGTAGCTGGGGAATTCTCTTCCACCCAGGGGTGGACATTTCCAAGGACAACTCTTAAGGAAGAGGAGAGCCTAACAGTCCCTCTCCATCAGTGAAAGGGCTGAGACGTGGGCTCCTGTGAGCAGGGCTACACTGGGCTCCTTTTCAAAAAAGACGCTGCCTGCTATCCTGGATGTCTGGGTCCTGGCTCCTCCGAACCCTATTGCCAGTCCCTTTTTTTTCTCTTCTAGAAATTCCACTGCTGGATACATGTACAGGAAATTTTTCAGGATATGTGCAAGAAAAATTGCAAAATGCTGTTGAAAGTGAAAGCACCCATACAAAATAGTCCCCAGAGAGCTTCTTTCCATTTCTTTCATTTCTTTCCATCATGTGAGGACACAGTAAGAATGTCCTGTCTCACGAAATCTGCCAGCAGCTTCATCCCAGACTTCTCAGGCTACAGGTCTGTGAGCCACAAATCTCTGCTGTTTCTAAGTCACCCAGTCTGTGGTACTTGGTTATTGCAGCTTGAATAAATGAAGACAGAGATCGGTACTGAAAAATGGGGTGCTGCCGGGTAATTGGGTAGAGGCTAGAAGGGTTTTGAAATGCATGCTAGAGAAAGCCTGTGTCACCGTGAGCAGATCCTGAAGGATGATTCCAGTAAGGGCTCAGAACAAGAGGAGGAGCGCTGCAGAGAAAGCCTCCATCTCCTTAGAGAATATCTAAGTGGTCATGGACAGAATGTTACTAGAAATATAGATGATAAAAGCCATTCTTATGGTCTCAAACAGAAATCAGAAATAAGGAACATGTTATTGGAAACTGGAGGAAAGGTAGTCCTTGTTGTAAAGTGGCAAACTTGGCTGAATTGACTTTATGTCCTGGTGTTTTATGTGAAATAGAACTGGTGAGTAATTAAATAAGATATTTGCTGAAAAAATTTCTAAGCCAAGTGTTTAAGGTGTGACTTGGTACTCTTGAATGCTTGTAGTAAAATAGAACAAGGGAGAAATCATTTGAAGATAGATTTTTTTTAATCAAAAGGGAAGCAGAACTGGACGATTTGGGAAATTGCCAGTCCATGTTGCAAAATATGAGAAAGCATGTTCTGGAGAGAACACCAAGGGTGTGGCCAAGTGACCATTTGGTAAGATTAGCATGGGTCAGCCAGGTGTTGTTCATCCAGACAATGGCAGAATGACCCTGGAGGCATTTTAGATATAGCTGGGGCTGCCACTCTCACCACTCACCCACAAGGCAAGAGGCTGGGGGATAGACTGTTGTTAAAGGATGGCCTGAATTTTTCTGTAAGACCTTGGCACACACTTCCTTGTCCTACTTCAAGGCTCTGCTCCCCACATTCTGCATTCCTGCTCACTGACCACCCCAAGTAGGCTCCATTGAGCTTAGGTGTGCCCGTGCCATAGTGGGTGCCCCTCCAGAGGGCACAGGTAGTAAACCTTGGTGGTGTCAACATGGGGTCATGTCTGCCAGAGTGCAGGTTGCATGAGCTGTGGGGTGTGGAAGCCTCCACCTAGATCTCAAAGGATGGAGTGGCCCAGAACTTCAGGCACAAGACTGAGGCAGAGGGCTGCTGGAGAGCCATGGATAGTGGAGCCAGAGGGGCAGGGCAGCCCAAGATCCCAGTCGGGTGGAGCTACCAGTGAATGATTCCAGTATGGGAGACCTGCAGGAATGCAACTCCAACTCATGAGAGCTGCACTGCAGGCTGCACCCAGCAAAGCTGTAGGGGCAGAGCATCCTGGAGCCCTGGGGGAATGAGCCCCTGTGCCACGATGTTCAGAAGATGGAACATCCAGTCAAAGAAGATTATTCTTGAGGCTTCCGGTTTAATGTTGTTTGTCACATTCCATTTTGGAGTTGCCTGAAGCTTGTTACTCCTTTCTTCTTTCCTGTTTCTCCTTTCTGGAATGGGAATGTTTATCCTACACCTCTCCAACCGCTGTATTTTGGAAGCACGTAACATATTTGATTTCATAGGTTTATAGCAAGAGCAGTTTGACTCAGGGTAATTGTACCCTGAATTTTATCCATATTTGACTCAGATAACATTTAAATTATACTTTGTACTACAGTTTTAAAGTTGATGCTAAAATGAGCTAAGACATTTGGAGCTACTGGGGAGAAGTGCATGTCTTTTGTGTATGAGAAGGATGTAGATTTTAGGGAACCAGAGGCAAAATAGTTTAATCTGAATTTCTGTGTCTGCTCTCCAGAATTCTTAGGCTGAAATCTAGTCACAAGGTAATGGTAATGGCAGGGCAAGTCCACTGAGGAGGGGAGGGAAGAAGGCAGTGCCCTTATGAATGGGATTGATGTCCTTTTATCAGAGGCCACAGGGAGCTTGCCTTGCCCTCTCCCACCATGTGAGGAAACAGCAAGGTTTTAGCTATGAACCAAGAGATGGGTCCTCGCCAGACACAGAACCTGCTGACACCTTCATCTTAGCCTTCTAAGCTTTCAGAACCATGAGAAATAGATTTCTAGTGTTTGTCAACAACCCAGGCTGTGGCATTTTCTTAGAGCATCCTGAGTAGATTAACACCAAGAACTCTAGCTAGGTGTCCTCCCAACCTGGGCACTTCTTCTCCCTGTACTGCTGAGTCCCGCAGTAGTCCTGGAACTACTGACCATACCTGGAAGGATGGCCTAGGGATTTCCCCTTTCATGGGGAAACAAAAGCTCTGGTCCTCATCAGCCACCAGGGGCTGGTGGCTGTGACCTTTGCCCTGATGAAAATCCTTGGGGATAAGGACAGTCTGGCTGACGCACTCTCACCCTGGGCACTTCCTCTTCCTGCACGGGAGCACTGTGGAGTGGCCAGTCAGGAGGGGTCCACTCTCTCTGCTGGGCTAGGAGCCCATGAGGACCACAGGCAGGTTCACGTTGGGAAACGCAACCTCCCTGTGCCCACCCCAGGTCGTGGCACACGGCAGAGCTCCGTATCAACCAGGAACAAGTGAATAAAAGGCATCTGAGTCCCTGTTGGCCCAGTCCTGTCTCTCCTGTTGGCAGAAACATTTCTGGAACCACACCCAAGCTTCCCACCCTACATGACTCTTCCATCTCCTCACAGCACCCTCGGGAGCTTCCCCAGGGGACAGCACAGGAAGCAGAGGACCCAACGCCTGCTGCTGGAACAAGGCCTGGTCCATGGAAGACGAGGCCTGGGGCACGAGGCTGACGTGATCAGCTGCAGGGACATAGGTCCCTCCAGACTCAGTTGTATCACTTGACAATGGGGATGTGTCAGGGCAAGGGACCACAGGGGCCTTTTTACTCTACCCTGCAGCACCCTATTCCAAGGTGACAACTTTCAGAGCGCTCAGGGCATGCTCGAGCTGTGGCAGGCTGCAGGAGGGAACTTGACTCTGAGATGCAGGGATCCCACTTACTGACTCCGACACAGTCTGCACAGAGGCACTGGCCGGGGGGAGATGGACAGGTACATGTGAGACTGGGCAGGAAGGCAAGGGATAAGATCACAGCACCCTTGTATGGCCACAGGAGGAGCCTGGAGCCAGCGCCTGGAGGGGTGGGGCCAAACCGCCCAGAGGACACTGCTTGCTGGAGAAGGGGCCAGGTGGGGCTGGGGACAAGGCCCTGCCAGCAAGATCATCCCACCTGTACCCTGGCCTTGCTGCTTAGCCTGGCAAGCCCAGGTCCTGGAGGCCCTCAGGAATTCCATTTGTGCTGAGGCTGCCTGGACAGAGGGGTGGCTCAGAAAGTTGTGCAAGTGGGAGAGAAGCAGGGTGGCCTTGGTCAGGCAGAGGGAGGCTGGTGGCCAGGCTGGGACCCTGGGTGCAGAGCCCTGAAGGTGAGGAGGGGGTACGTGCTGGGCCTCAGTATGAAGCTGTAGACCATCTTTATATCCTCTTGGGTTAGTGTCTCCACCTGGAGGTGTTTCAGCACCTAGGACAGAAGCTGGGTTTCCATCTGGCCTGGTCAGCAGCCCATGGACATGGGGGAGTCTCCTCAGACCCTCAAAGTTGCAGTGACTATGCTGCAGGAGGGCAGCAGGCTGGGCCCCAACCTGTCCCATTCCTGACCAGCCCCACCTTACAGCCCAGGCCTTGTCCAACCCCCACTACCCTGTACAGGCTCCACCCAACTCCCCCAGTCCCAGCCTGAGCCTCTTTAGCAGCAACGTCGCCCAGATCTACCCTCCTCACCATACCAACTCCTGCCCAGGACCTACACAGCCTCAGTCTAGCCCAGGTTCTCCCAGTACCCGCCCTGCCCACTCCAGGACACACAGGCCACATCCACTCTGCCCAGGCCCATCCCACATGGCCCAAACACCGCCAATGATGCACAGACCCCACCCAGACCCCGCCCCCGCCCCCGCCCCTTCTGCTCACGTGGTGCAGCAGCAGCAGCATCTCTGTCTCTGCCAGGCGCCTTCCCAGGCACTGACGCATGCCAAAGCCGAAGGGCATGTACTGGAAGTTCCTGCCAGAGCCCTTGGTGTCTAGCCAGCGCTGGGGCCTATAGCGCTCAGGTCTCGGGAACAAGGCGGGGTTGCGACCCAGAGAGTAGAGAGACACACGCACCAGTGTCTGTGGATGGTGCAGAGCGGGGATCAAGAAAAGACCTGGGAGGGAGGTTCTCAACTCAAGGGGTGCGGGGCTCACTCACCCCAGCTGGGATGTGATAGTTCTGCAGCACCAAGTCTGAGCTCACCACTCGCTCCAAAAAGGGGCCCACAGGGTAGAGCCTGGAGGTGGGGACATCCACAGAAAGAGTCCTCAGCTGGATGGGGCGTCCTGTGCCCTCTGCAGCCTTCCTACACAAGAACCCCGAATGTCCCCAGCCCATAGGAAGCCCAGGTCGTGAGGAAGAGCCTCTTGCACCTACTGAGCCGGGCCAAATCTCCCCTAATCTGAGCAGCCCCAAGCCCAGAAGGACACGCCCCACATTAATCCCCAGGGTGTTGAAGAGGGATTCCAGAGGAAGAAGAGGTCCCTCTTCTTGAGGGAGAGGAAGAGCAGGTGCAGGGGAATGGGCTGCTGGGCGACGCTGCTTATCAGCCCCAGCTTCTGTCTGCCACCCCCCAGTGGGGGCTGCTCTCCAGCAGGGGGCCGGGGCCACAGGGAGGTCTCAGCCAGCACCCACCTCAAGCTCTCCTTGATAGCCGCCCGCAGCAGGGGCAGCTCGGTGGTTGCCTTCTGGGGATGTTCACTGATGCTGGCGGCAGCGGCCAGGCTCTCCTGGCGCAGGGCCTGCTGCACGTCGGGGTTCCGAGCCAGCTCAAAGAGCGTCATCAGCAAGGGAAACACCGTCTGCAGGAACCACGGCTGCAGGGTCAGGCCTTGCACAGGACTCAGACCCGACATACCCATCCCAGGACAGCCCCCTCTGCAGGGTGGGGACATGCATGCCCTGAGCACGACACTGCCCTGGAACCCAGGACTTCAAATCCTAACACCCATCCATACCCCTTTCCTTTAGTCCTCCAGAGAAAAGCAACCCCCATTCCAACCAAGGCAACCTGCAAATGTGTTTATCACATTGCAATCTCAAGTAAGAAATGTGGGGCCTGTAGCTTGGGGATGGGGCATGTGGGTGCCGTGTGGCATTGCAGGACAGTGCCTGAGACACAAGCTGGGCATCACCCTCTGTGGATGGGGCTGATTGCCGGCCTGACCGTATCCACACTCCCTGCGGTGAGTTCCATCGAGTTGGCCTTGATGGCATCTGGCGATAGTTCTGCATTCAACAGGAGCTTCGCCACAATGCCTGTGTAGTGTTGAGGGCAGCTGAGGGCCAGTTTCTGATAGATTTTCTGGATACAGTTATCACCTGTCCAGTGAGGGGGAGACTGCCCTCAGGCCTTGGTGCTGGGAAGCATCCTTCAGGGTCCTACTCTTGCCCACTCTCCCCAACACTCAAGTCCCCCTGCCCTCATCCCAAATTCTCCAGATCAGTCCAGCCTGGCCCCAGCCTGGCTCCCAATCTCCCTGGCATGACAGTGAGGAATCCCCAGCGCCTCCCTGTGGCCTTCATTCCCCTCTGGGCAGTGCAGAGGGAGAAATTGGGCCCCATAGCGAGGCTGCCCCATAGCACTGCCCAGGTCCCTGGCCTCACCATACTGGAAGATGCAGTCCCAGGCCTCAAAATGCTCCTTCCACACCTTGGGGCTGGTCCAGCGAGACAGGCTCCTGGGCATGAACATAAGCTGGACGGTGGACTTGAGCATAACCTCCAGGGCATGGAGGAAGTTCAGGCTGGCAGAGCTGGGGCTATGGCCAACCAGGCCCAGCTGCTCTCCAAAGAGGGCTAAGTTGCTGGCTGTGGGGAGGAGGCATTGTGAGCCCAAGGCAGCCCCCAGCCTCCTGGCTGCCTCCCCGACTCCCTCCAGCCCCCCGTCCCCGTCCCTGGCCACTCCATGGTCTCTGAGGCTGGACCTTCCCGCCTGGTCCAAACCTTCAATGGTGTAGTGGAAGATGCTGGACTGGACGTCCAGGGTCAGGCTCCCCCGGGTGTTCTGCAGCACCTTGTTCCTGAGGGCCTGGGAGAAGTCCCTGGCCACCGAATCCACCATCGGGAGGAACCGCTGCACAGCCTTGGGTGACAGCACATCCGGGTTCAGCCGCAATCGGTTGAAGCGCCATTCAGGCCCGTTCCTACAGAGGCCAGGGCAGAGCTTGTGATGCCGCCCAGCAAGACACAGGCCCCGACCCGCATCCCATCCCCCTTGTCCCCAGATCAGGGAGACAAGGCGTCCAGGGAGCTGACTGGGGGCCCTGGAGGACGCTGCCTGCTTCTGTTCCAGCTGTAGCCTTTTCTCAGAGCGGCCTATAGGTGCTGGGCAAAGGCCACTCAGTTCTAAACAGGGGATCAGACAGTAGCTTCTGCCCACAGGTTCTGAGGGGGTAACTAAGGTCATTCCTGGGACCTGATGTCCCAAGGCTGGCACCACCTCACCCATGTGGGCCCTCCCAGTGGTTGGGAGAGGGCTTTTCTCCTAGAAAGGAGGTGACCCCCATTGTAAAGCTTTGCCCACCTCTCCCACACAGTGTCCTGAGGGGAGAGCCCTGCTGCCCTCTCCTCCCTGCCCTTGGCACAGTGCCTCTGGGGCAGCAGCCTCTGCCTATCTCTGTGAAGCATCTGCATCTTCTGCAGGGCAGGAACCAAGCTCTGTGCTTCATGCCATCCTCACCCACAGTCACAGTGATGGGGGCTCCACAGATGCCCCCAGGGAATGGTGGGGAGGAAGTTCCCCTCTCAGCCACATTCCTGCAAAACTATTTATGTCCAGCTGGCTGCTGTCAGGTGTTGACAGGGATGACAGGCAGAAGACGCACATGCACAAGTGTGCCCATGCAGGACCTCAACACACGTGTGTGCAGAGACACATGTACACGTGCGGCCATGCAGGACCTCAACACGTGTGTGAAGAGAAACATGTACACATATGCCTATTCAGGACCTCAACACACGTGTGTGCAGAGACACATGTACACATGTGCCCATGCAGGACCTCAATACATGTGTGTGCAGAGACACATGTACACGTGTGCCCATTCAGGACCTCAACACGTGTGTGATTAGAGACATGTACATTTGTGCCCATGCGGGTCCTCAACACACGTGTGAAGACACACATGTACACGTGTGTGCCCATGCACGACCTCAACACACATGTGTGAAAAGACGAATGTACACGTGTGCCCATGCAGGACCTCAACACACGTGTGTGAAGAGACACATGTACATTTGTGCCCTTGCAGGACCTCAACACAAGTGTGTGAAGAGACAGATGTACACGTGTGCCCATGCAGGGACTCAACACACGTGTGTGAAGAGACATGTACACATGTGCCCATGCGGGTCCTCAACACACGTGTGAAGACACACATGTACACGTGTGTGCCCATGCACGACCTCAACACACATGTGTGAAAAGACGAATGTACACGTGTGCCCATGCAGGACCTCAACCATGTGTGAAGAGACACATGTCTATGTCTGCAGACACTACACCCATGCCAGCACCTGCCAGTACACACACAGAGACACCTGTGCACGCACACCACACATCACACATGCACACACTCAGGCATGCACACACAATGCATGTGCAAATGCAGGTACAGAGAAACACACAGGCATGTGCACAAATGCAAGATACGCACACACACGGCAGCGCTCCGCTTCCTTCCCATATGCGCACCCAGCCTCCTGGACCTGCCTTCCTGGGTCATGACTCCCTCCCAGATGTGGTCTGTAGGCCAGCCTCAGTGACGGCCCCCACCCATGGGTGCCCTTTTACCTAAACCCCACTATTCCCAAGAGCATTCCCTTTCTGCCATGGCGTGGGGGCTGTTGCTGCTGTGAAATTCTCCAGTCCTTCCCCCATCCTAATGGCAACGTCCCTGCAGGTGACCGACTCCTAGCACCAGCCTCTCCCTGCCCACCTGACCAGGCACCACCCTCTCCACAGCCCAGGAAACATCTCCCCAGTGCCATCAACCACCCCACCTCGTGCCTTGCTTCTGAGAGCAACAGAGCCACCAGCCACCTGCGTCCCCCACATGCCTGCGGGCCAGAACTGTCCCCATCACCAAGATTTGCCAGGACTGCAGGAGCCAAGGGCACCCTACGGGGAGGCTGCAGCCCTGGTGGACACCAGGCTCAGCACACATGGCCTGTGACCTGGGCCGGTGGGAACCCCCTTCTCAGCGCCTCAGTTTCCTGACTGTGGGAAGGAGAGTCCTCAGCCATAAGAGAAAGCAGCTGCCAAGGTCGGTACAGAGCAGGTTCTCCCTGCACAGAAGGGCTCATTGCTCTGCGTCCTCTCCTCTGCTGAGGTGCCCGTGCCCATTTCTCCACCATCACGGCTGTGGAGAGGGTGGTGCCTGGTCAGGTGGGCAGGGAGAGGCTGGTGCTTGGAGTCGGTCACCTGCAGGGACGTTGCCATTAGGATGGGGGAAGGACTGGAGAATTTCACAGCAGCAACAGCCCCCACGCCATGGCAGAAAGGGAATGCTCTTGGGAATAGTGGGGTTTAGGTAAAAGGGCACCCCAGCTGCAGGACAAATGTGACCCCAGGGGATGGCTGTCCTCCAAGCTGGGTGCTCACTCTCACCACCTGCCACACGGGCCCAGGGCGGACGTACTTTCAGCTCCTGCTTCTCTCACTTCCCAGGCTGCCCACCCGGCCCCCAGCTCCCAGCTCCCGGCTCGCCCCTCACAGCAAGAACACGCCACATTTGTGCCCACGGTGTTGTCTGTAGGCCACCCAGGGCTCCAGGCTCATCCGGCGGGGGTGCAGGCTGTCCACCTGTTGCAGCCTCTCCACATCCTCCGGCAGCATCACCCACACCGTGCGTGGTCCTCCCGACTCGGACCTGTGGGGCCAAGCACAAGGCTCTGCTGGACGGGGTCACGTCCTCCCTGGCCCCACCCTGCAGCCCCCATCCAGCAGTCTCCTGTCAGCCTCCCCACTCCTGGATTAGCAGCTTCACAGCTGAAGCCCTCCTGCTGGCTCCCTGGAATCTCTCTACCTTAGTGTCTCTGAGTCCTGCCCTCTCTGCAGCAAGCTGGGGTTTGCTCCACACCATCGCCTGCACTGGCAGAGCCACAGACCAGCACGGGCTGCCCTTCCTCCCCGTCCTCTAAAGAATGCAGAGTCCCAGGACCAGCTGGGAATGTCAGTGCTGTGTGCCCAGCAGGGTCCTGGGCAGCAGGGGCAGGGATCTGGGTGTTCCCAGCGAGGTCCAGGGAGGACTTTACCTGAAAATGGGCCCCAGCTCCTGGAAGGTCTGGTGCAGCTCCAGGTGCAGGTGCTCATAACCCTGCTCCCTCCATATCTGCAGCAGCCTCAGCCACCTGTTGCCTGGACGCTGGGGCATGGCTTCGAAGGGCAGCACCGTCCTGGGGGCCTGAGCGGCTCTGGTGACCAGTGCCCGTGCCCCTTGCAGGGACAGCCAGGGCGCTGCCATGCACACCTCTGCCTTTGCCCTGAGTGCCATTCCAATGCTCCCTCTGCCCTGTTCAGCCCCAATCTTTTTATCTTACCCGGGAACCTGCCCTGGAAATGGATCACGTCATGGGATAACTGGCCCTGGACCTTCCTGGAAACCCTGGGCAGAGGTCAGGGCTGGTGGCGGGGACTGATTGGGGATGTATGGGGGCAGGTGGGGGGAAAAGGACTCTCCCTCCTCCTCTAGGGCTGAGAGGAGCAAGATGGATGGGCCCTTATCTTATCCAAGAGCCTTGGATTATTCATCTCCTTGCAAGGTTCATAGCAAAAAATGAGGGAATGAGTTGGCATTCATTGCATTAAACCACATTTTTGTTTTACTTTTTACAATTGTTATTTAATTAACTTTTAGTTGACATTTAAAATTGCATTTATCTATCCTGTACAACAGGATGTTTTGAAATATGTGTATAAAGTCTGAAATAGAATTTCTGTAACAATCAAGCTAAATCATCTATTTATTAGCTCAGATACGAATTGTTTGTGTTTAGGATGCATAGTCTCCTGTCTTAGAGATTTTCAAGCACGTGGTTATTAACCATGGCCCCGACATTGCATCATCAGCCTGCTGACCTTTTCCCCCTGGCTAACTGAAACGTTGTATTTTTTGACCTGCTGACCAATGTCTCCCAACAGCACCCCTCCATGTGCCTTGCCTCCCTGCCCTCAACCCCTGGTAGCACCATTCCACTCTCTGCTTCTACCAGTTTTACCTTTGTTGATTCCACAGATAAGTGAGATTGTGTGTTGGTGGCTTTTGTGTGTGTGTGTCTGTGTGCCTGGATTATTTCACATAACAGTTTTCCCAGATTCATTCGTGTTGTCACAAATAATAGATTTCCTTCTTTTTTAAGGCTGAATTTAAGCCTTTGTGTCCATATTCCACCTTTTCTTTATTCATCTGTTGATGGGCACTTAGGTTGACTCCATATCTTGGCTTTTGTGAATAGTGCTGCAATAAACATGGGGTGCAGGAATCTCTTCAGCATACTGATTTCATTTCCTTGATCTATATACACGCACCATGATATAGGTGGGTCATATGGTAATTTTATGTTTAATTTTTAAGAAACTTCCGGCCGGGCGCGGTGGCTCAAGCCTGTAATCCCAGCACTTTGGGAGGCCGAGGCGGGTGGATCACGAGGTCAAGAGATCGAGACCATCCTGGTCAACATGGTGAAACCCCGTCTCTACTAAAAATACAAAACATTAGCTGGGCATGGTGGCGCGTGCCTGTAATCCCAGCGACTCAGGAGGCTGAGGCAGGAGAATTGCCTGAACCCGGGAGGCGGAGGTTGCGGTGAGCCGAGATCGCGCCATTGCACTCCAGCCTGGGTAACAAGAGTGAAACTCCGTCTCAAAAAAAAAAAAAAAGAAAGAAAGAAACTTCCATTCCATTGTCCATAATGGCTGTGATGATTTACATTCCCATCAACGGGGCTCCAGAGTCCCTTTGTCTGCATATTCACCGGCACGTGTCACCTCCCCTGATTTGTATAGCAGCCACTCTAACCAGTGCCGGGTGGTATTTCATGGTGGATTTAATTTGCATTTCTCTGATGATTACTGATGTTGAGCACCTTTTCACATACCTGGCAGCCATTCATACGTCCTCTTTTGAGAAATAGATATTTGTGTCCTTTGTCTGTTTTTTAATCCAGCTGCTTGTTTTCTTGCTATTGAGTTGTTTGAGTGCCTTATATGTTTTAGATATTAAATGCTTATCAGATATACGATTTGCAGATATTTAGGCCCCATTTCTCTTCACTCTGTGTATTGCTTTCCTGGTTGTGCAGATTTTTTTTTTGCTTGATGTATTCTATTTGTCTATCTTTGCTTTTATCACCTGCGGTTTTGTGTTAATATAAAAAAAAATGCTAAGGCCAGTGTCATGGATCCTGTCTTCCATGTTTTCTTCCAGGATTTTTACAGTTTCAGTCTTTACATTTCAGTCTTAAATTCATTTTAATTTTTCTATATAGTGGAAAATAAGTGATATCTTGAAAATTTTAAATATGGTTTGGATGTGAGTCCCCTCCAAATCTCATGTCGGAATGTGACCTCCAGTGTTGAAGGTGGGACCTGGTAGCAGGTATTGGATCATGGGGAAGATCCCTCATGAATGGCTGAGTTCCCATGAGATCTGTTGGCCAAAAGAGTGTGACACTTCCCCCCCCAACCATGCCCATTCTCATCTGGTACACCGGCTCCCCCTTTGCTTTCCTTCATGATTGTAAGCTTCCTCAGGCCTCACCAGAAGCCAATAAGATGCCAGTGCTATGCTTCCTCTACAGCGTGCAGGACTGTGAGCCAGCCAATTAAACCTCTTTTCTTTATAAATTACCCAGAAATTACCAGTCTCAGATATTTCTTTGTAGCAATGCAAGAATAGTCTAGTGCAATAAGAGCCTGATTTTAATATTTGCCTAAGGAGATCCAGTTTTCTCAACACCGTATATTGAACAGATTGTTCTCTCCCCAATATATGTTCTTGGCATCTTTGTCAAAAATCAATTGACCTTAAATGCATGGATTAATTTCTGGGTTCTGCATTCCTTTCCATTAATCTATGTGTCTGCTTTTATGCCAATACCAATCTGTGTTGGTTACAATAGCTTTGTAGTATATTTCAAAGTCAAGTAGTGTGATGCCCCTCAACTTTGTTCACTGTTGCTCAAAATTGATTTGGTTAACTCAGGATTTTTTGTGATTCTATCAGAATTTTTTTTTCTTTTTCTTTGAAAAATGTCACTGGAATTTTAATTGGAATTGTATTAAATCTATAGATCATTTGGGGTATATGGACATTTTTAGCAATATTAATTCTTCCCGTGGACAAATACTGGTTTTCTTTACATTTTTGGTGTCCTCTTCAATTTTTTTTATTTTTATTTTCATTAAATTATTCTTTATTATTTTTTGTGAATACATAGTAGGTGTATATATTTATTGTGTATATTAGTCCATTCTCATGCTGCTGTGAAGAAATTCCTGAGACTGGGTAATTTATAAAGAATACAATCGTGGTGGAAGATGCCTTTTCACAGGGTGGCAGGAGAGAGAATGAGTGCAAGCAGGGGAAATAGCAGAGTCTTATAAAACCATCAGATCTCACGAGACTCACTCATTATCATGAGAACAGCATGGGGGAAACTGGCCCCATGATTCAGTTACCTCTACCTAGTCCTTCCCTTGACACGTAGGATTATGGGGATTACAATTCAAGGTGATACTTGGGTGGGGACACAGAGCCAAACCATATCATAGGATTTATAAGATGTTTTGGTATAGTCATGCAATGTGTCATAATCACATCACAGAGTGAGGTATCCATCTCCTCAAGCACTGATGCTTTCTGTTACAAGCAATCCAATTTGTATTAGTCCACTGTCACATTGCTGTAAAGAACTACCTGAGACTAGGTAATTTATGAAGAAAGAAGTTTAATTGATTCACAGTTCTGTAGGCTGCACCGGAAGCTTGGCTGGAGGCCTCAGGAAACTTACAGTCATGGTGGAAAGTGAAGGGGAAGCAAGCACATCTTACCATGGCAGAGCAGGAGGGAGTGAGAGAGAGAGAGAGAGTGAAGAGGGAGGGGCTACACTTTCAAACAACGAGATCTTGTGAGAACTCTGTCACGAGAAAGCACTAGGGGAATGGTGCTAAACCATTAGAAACACTTTCATGATCCAATCACCTTCCACCAAGCCCCTCGTCCAAAAATGATAATTTACATTTCCATCAACAGGGTACAAGAATTCCCCTTTGTCCACATCCTCACCAACACTTTTCAATTATAGGGATTGTCAATCATGGGGACTAAAATTAGACATGAGATTTGGGTGGAGACATGGAGCCAAACCATATCATTCTGTCCCTGGCTCCTCCCAAATCTCATGTCCTTCTCACATTTCAAAATACAATAATCTTTTCTCAGCAGTCCCCCAAAGTCTTAACTCATTCCAGCTTTAACCCAAAAGTCCAAGTCAAAAGTCTCATCGGAGACAAGACAAGTTCCTTCCAACTATGAGCCTATAAAATCAAAAATGAATTAGTTACTTCCAAGATATAATGGGGTGTACAGATATTGGGTAAATGCTCTCATTCCCAATGGGAGAAATTGGCCAAAACAAAGGGGCTACAGGACCCATGCAAGTCCCAAACTCAGCACGGCAGTCATTAAATCTCAAAGCACCAAAATAATCTCCTTTGACTCCATATCTCACATCCAGGTTACACTGATGCAAGGGCTGGCCTCCCAAAGACTTGGGCAGCTCCACCTTTGCAGATCTAAAAGATACAACCCTGTTGCTGCTTTCACAAGCTAGCATCAAGTGCCTATGGCTTTTCCAGGTGCATCATGCAAGTTACCAGTGTATCTACCCTTCTGGGGTCTGGAGGATGGTGGCCTTCTTCTCAGAGCTCTACTCAGCAGTACCCCAGTAGGGACTCTGTATAGGGGCTCCAACCCCACATTTTCCCTCTGCACTGCCCTAGTAGAGGTTCTCCATAAGGGCTCTGCCCCTGCAGCAGACTTCTGCCTAGACATCCAGGTGTTTCCATACATCCTCTGAAATCTAGACAGAGGTTCCCAAACCTCAGCTCTTGCCTTCTGCACACCTACTGGGCCTCACTGATTAAAATGCAAGATTTGGGGCTTGCATCCTCTGAAGCAATGGCCTGAGACGTACCTTGGCCTCTTTTAGTCATGGCTGGAGCTGGAGCCACTGGGATTCAGGACACCATGTTCTGGGGTTGCACAGAGCAATTGGGCACTGGTCCTTGTCCACAAAACCATTTTTTCCCCGTAGGTCTCCAGGCCTGTGATGGAAGGGACTGCCACAAAGGTCTCTGAAATGCCTTGAAGACATTATCCCCATGTCTTGGTGATATGGTTTGGCTGTGTCCCCACCCAAACCTCACCGTGAACTGTGGTTCCCATAATCCCCATGTGTCATGGGAAGGACCAAGTGGGAGGTAAATGAATTGTGGAGGCAGTTACCTCCATGCTGTTCTTCTGA